TGAAAGTGGTGGGGGAGGGGTTTATCCCCCACCAGGGCTCCATTCCTTGTGGACGCCAAGAGACGGCGTTGCTCTCCCTGCGGAGCTCTTCCTCTCCAGCTGGCTAGTGCTGGGGTTATTGCAAAGCTCCGCAGGTCACATTTAAACCCAAATCTTGGACAAAAATTGGCATCAACATGGCCCCCACCCCTGGCAGCCCCCCAACGTGGTGGGGGAGGGGTTTATCCCCCACCAGGGCTCCATTCCTTGTGGACGCCAAGAGACGGCGTTGCTCTCCCTGCGGAGCTCTTCCTCTCCAGCTGGCTAGTGCTGGGGTTATTGCAAAGCTCCGCAGGTCACATTTAAACCCAAATCTTGGACAAAAATTGGCATCAACATGGCCCCCACCCCTGGCAGCCCCCCAACTCCTTTGCCCAGGGGCTGAACCTCCCTGTGCTCCACCCCAGGCCTAATTCTTTGGTTTACCTCCGTGCAGGCCAGTCTGTTCCTGCCCCAGCTCCATGCATCGCCAGCAGGAGGGGGCATGCCGTGCTAAATACGGCATGTGCCAGAGTGTCCATAGCTCCGTGGAGCATTTAGCACAGCCCCCACTAGCAGGATAACAACCCACTACTACTGCTAGCTGCGGGGGCAGGGATGCCACGGTGGAGCCGACGGCCCCCGGTCAAACACCACTGGTGACCACACCAAGCGGGGAGGGACCGTCGGCACTAAGAGCACAGGGCTCTCCAGCTGAGAGCTGTCACAGACCCGTCCCCTCTGTGGACTGGGGACATGTAACACGCAGACCCGTATTGCCCAAAGCATCCAGAGACAGCCCGTGGGCTCTGGGAAGTGACTGTCTCACAGCCCCACGGGGGTTGGAAACCGCATTCAATTCCCCCTCCGGTGGTTGGGTAGGACGGCAGGTGCGGTACGAATTCCGTCTGAACTGGTTGGTGGGCTCAAGTGAAGGCATGGGACGGGTGTGCGTGGGGATTGCGAGCTGCCCAAGCCGGAGGGCAGCCGCCCCTGGAGGAACGGAGAGCTCCAGAGCCGAGAGGACTCCCTGGGGAAGCGTGTGCACGGTGCAGAGCGGCACGGTTCAGTTTCTGCTCCCAACAACAGTCCTCACTGAACACAGCGTGCACCACCGCCAGACACGGCCAGGTAACCACGACAACAGGGCCTACTCCTTTTGGATTTGCATAGATCGGGAACGGGTGGTCACTCCGGCACAAGCGCCGGGTGGGTTGCAACCTTCCTGCATATTTCTATTTACAGTGGGCGCCAGGGAGCCGGTAGCGCCTCGGTAACAGTGTTCAGTTGGGGTCTTTTAACACAGTGAAAATCAAAACCAGGTAAGGCCCAGTAAGCCCCACGTTCTGCAAGCTGCACTCAGAGCATTAGAGGGACAGTGCCAAGGGCTTGTTAAACAAACCTGCTTTTATTCCTGCAACCTTCCTGCATATTTCTATTTACAGTGGGCGCCAGGGAGCCGGTAGCGCCTCGGTAACAGTGTTCAGTTGGGGTCTTTTAACACAGTGAAAATCAAAACCAGGTAAGGCCCAGTAAGCCCCACGTTCTGCAAGCTGCACTCAGAGCATTAGAGGGACAGTGCCAAGGGCTTGTTAAACAAACCTGCTTTTATTCCAGGC